GGGCCTTAGACAACTTTTCCAAAAGTCTCGAGCAACAAGACGCGGTCGATCCATTTGGGCCCATTCTAGACGTCGTTAGGCCCGGAAGTGACTCCTTTATTTTACTCCAATTCTGACCGACGACGTAAACGGCAATTTTGAGGCCCACCCGAGTCGCAGCTGTGAACGTTTTACTTAAACCGAGCATTTAAGGATCTAAGGCCCCATAGGCAGGACCTAAGACCCCGAAAGTTTCTCACATTTCTTCAACTAGGACCACTAAACTTACATCCGGCCTCCCAGAAAAGCGTCACCTGTTAGAATGTGAGTTGCGGCGTATTCGAAAGTGTCGAGTGGGCCCAAATACATGAGGCCCAAAGATGTTTTCCCGAGAAAAAAAAAAAACTCTTCCGTTCTCTCCGAACTCGATTTCGCGCTCTACGGCGACGCCGTTAGCAGCTGTGGACGCTTTTCTTAACGGGCCCCGCGGTCGGGCCTTAACCTCCGACCACTTCTTCAGGGAATAATGAAATGATATTCGCCTTCCGAAAGCTCGCCAGATGGCGATGTTACGACTTCCAGTGGGCCCCGATATAGTAGTGGCGTACGGTTGCGACTTTCCCATAGAGGTCGACGTCAAGGAGCCAGGCCCTTATGGGACCCCACAAGCTATTTAGGCTTGCACTCGTGTCCACGGACCGCAAGGCGCGCCATTATAAGGCCCCGCGGGTCCGTCAAGGCGCAAGGGGTCCAAAGGGGCCCTGCGGCTCTTTCACTCTCTTTCTCTCTCTCTCCGCTTGCGTACTGCGACTTCAAGACCCGCCATTTCTCGTGTGTACGAGGCTTTAAGGAGCGCTCTTGAATGATCCCGCGGCGACGGGCCCCTATGAGCTAGAGACTCGTGAGGCCCCGGGGGCCTGGCATCGTAAACTCGCTTAGTAGCGCGACACCGACGGTCGCGAAAATCTCGTAAAATCGCAGCCGCGACCTTTCCAGCGACGTAACGAGACAATGGGGCCCCTTTGAAATACTTTCCGGGGCCCGGCGAGTCCGTTTCTCCCCATCGTGAGACCCCAGGAGGCGCGATTACGGGCCCCGACACCGATCATTCTCCGTTTTCAGATAAATCAATGTAAATTTTTTCGGATCTGGGGAAAGTGGACGGTCCCGATTAGGGGACCGGTTTGTCAGTCTTTCCTTCCGGGCCTTAGAAAGCCCAGGGGTCCGATCACGCCTCTATTGGGCCCACTCTTGCCGATCTTTCCCTATTCGTCCATTTGGACCCATGCAAATTCCTGGGATCCAGGGAAAGTGGAGGGACCCCCTTGGGGCCCAATTCGCTCGGAGAGTGTAAGGCCCCTCTAAGGCCCCGTTCAATCTTTTCATTCTTACGAACCCCGGAAGGGGGAAACCCGCCTCGAACATCTTCACTTCCCCTATATTCGCATAAATCAATGCTAATTCTCGGGGCCCGGAGAAAGTGGGCCTCTTTCTCTCTCCAGGATTTAAACTTCGATTTCCCGCAGGGGCCCAATTTTGTTTGAAAGACGCCGCTCGGGCAATCTTTCCGGAAGAGTAGCCAGCCAATGTGCCTTTCGAAATCAATTGGGCCTTATTCGCGCGTCTCTGATTTCTGGGCCTTAAAACGTTGTTATTCCACCCCTACGACTCGACCGTATCGATCATTCATGAGTTGCATTTAAAATCGATCCACAGAAATTCCCAGAAATTGGGGAAAGGTAAACGGTCCCAATGGGCCCATAAAATCAACAAGTCGCTATTGTCCGGCACTTTTTTCTCTCTTCCCCTCGATCAAGAGGAGCCTAGGAAAACGCAATATTTCCGGATACTTTAGAATTTTTTCTTCCTCTCGGACCATTCACTTCATTCACGGGGCCCTACGAGAGGCACGTCCGACCGCAGTATAAGGCCCAGATCAAAATGGACGAGGCCATCCCCTGCTGATTAAACAAATCAATGCAAATTCCAGGGAGTAGAGATGAATGCGCAAGGCCGACCGTAAACTCCAAAATCCCGACTTTGGGGCGGTTTTAGAACGTTCCTTTTTTTTTTTTGATATTTTTTATTTAGCTTCTCCAGATGCGGTCCAAAGTCACGGGGACCGTTGGGACATCAAATTACCCCTCGGTCCCCTGGCTAACCGAGTCTAAACAGATTTCGCCGGTCAGAGAAGGGTTATAATAGGGCATTTGTAAACGAAGCCTAAAACGGCCCTTCGGCAGTTAAGCAATTACCCGGGCAAATTCAAAATGTCGACGAAAGAAAAAACGGATCCTCGAGAGGGTAATGTCAAGCTACGGTGACATATATCGAGATGAATTTCTATTACGAAACGTTTTCTCATATCTCTTTTGGCAGGAAATTGCGGTGACGACGAGTAGGGGAAGGTTTTCCCCGTCGGATTTTAAACTGGCTTTTAAAATGGCGGCACATTTGCAAACCGAGACCGAGGGTGGTCTATTCTTGAAAAATGTCAAAAAGAAATTCTCCAGACGGTTTGGCGAGGTAGAGTTTAAAGCCCCATGGTAGATCTTGGTCAGAATAAACAGTGCTCGTTCCTAGTGGCCAGTGTAAACGGAAACGACTTCTACATGCCGACTGGGTCGTGTTTGGGCCCCGCGGCCATTTTGGAAATTTCCTCCAGGAATCTGCTCTCCTAACTTTTCCGTTACTTCTCCTTTCGCTTCGAAAATCCCGACCCTGCCAAGAAACTGAACCCAATGAGTAAACTGAACGCACTTTCGAGCCATTTTATGGCCACTGAAGAGAATCAGGAGGCTTCCTGGAAAGAGTCCACGGGTACGTGGGAAGTGCGCCGAATTACAAGAGATAAAAGATAAGGAACCTCTCCTGCGAAAAGTCTCAAGGTTACCACTGAGCCCAATTATTGTCCCAGAGATAAGATATACCCGCAAAATGGCGGAGAACTGCCTTCATCCGGTATCTCTTCAGCTAAAATTCCTGTATTTCCCCTAAGTCGAATGTCTACTCTACATGACCTAAATGCAAATACTATCCCCCAAACTTCATTTAAATATTCAAAGTCCAATTCAATTTTTTTATAAACAAGGAATCAAAGTCTGCCTGCACACGTCGAGGAAAGAAACAACAGATCAAAATATATTATGAATTACTGTTAAATTTAACTTCTTAAAATCAATTTCTGTAACGTGAGAAAGAAGCAAAAAAAAAACGGCACGGAGTTATAGATAAAAATCGATGTCTATTATCTTTCGCTCTTCTTGAGCTTAGGATTTTCTCTTTTCGACATCGTCGTTGGTATCCCGACGATCGTAGGAACCAGAATTTCCCGAAGTGCGCCCGAGTTTCCCCGATCGACCCCGAGGTCGCGACTTTCACGGAGTGACGTAATCGCGGCGTCGCGAACCGCGACCGGCCGCGCTACCGGCGGTCGGTAAGTTCACGTTCGCGTTACCATTTTCACGCACGGCTCCGAAGGGTGTCCCGTTACACGGGTTACCCCAGATACCGGATCGCCGTACACCTCGGGATCGCCGATCATGCGTGCACGCACCGATCGCTTCTCAAAGCGGCTTAACATCGCCCTGAACATCGTTTCAACGTCGACAACCAATCTGGAGCGGTTAAGGCATTCCAAGATGGCGGCCACCGTTCGGTTTTCGCGCTTCCCGGGTCGCGGCTAATTAATTCCCCGCAGCTTGATTAAAGTTAACCGGAAATAACCGAGCTATCTAAAACTCACTCGATTTCTCCGCACTGCTAAATAAATGTGGCTTAACATCGCCCTGATCATCGTTTCAACGTCGACGACCGATCTGGAGCGGTTAAGCCATTCCAAGATGGCGGCCACCGTTCGGTTTTCGCGCTTCCCGGGTCGCGGCTAATTAATTCCCCGCAGCTTGATTAAAGTTAACCGGAAATAACCGAGCTATCTAAAACTCACTCGATTTCTCCGCACTGCTAAAGAAATACCGTAAATTAATCACCTTTTTCTTCCGTACTACATGGACATGTCCATAAATTTAACTGGGGAGTGTATTAACTTTTCCACCCGATTCCACGTAATTATAACGTGACGTTATAGGATTGTACGTTAATTTTTAAATTTGTAATAAGTGCATTTTAAACTAAAGCATTTTTCGATGAGATCATTGGAGAGGTTAGAAACTTTCGAGCGTACATTTTTCTCGCCATAATTGGAGAGAAATATCGCGAGAAGGGGAGAGCCTCGAATCGGCGATTGAATGGAACCGAGTAAAAAAATTATCACCAAGCTCAATTCGTCCTCGGGATTTTAATATTGACTCTTGTCGTAGGGGCTTTGACTCTCGATATTACGAGCGCTGCGTTACTCGACTTGATAACACACAAGATCTCCGCAACGACGCTCGTTAATGATTCACGACGCCGATTGTGCCGACCGATACCGCAGCCCGATGAATGTTGACAACGGCGGAGAGTCTGAAAATTCCGAGAAAATTCCCCCCGAAATTTCCAACCTTGGATGGACATCGGTCTACAATAAATCGCGCTCTGGCTGAAAATCTAATATTACGGAATCACCCCGACAAGATAACCTCACTTTTATCTCCCCGTGCTCCTAGGCGAGAGAGGAGAGCACTCGATTTCGAAATTATTTTAGCCGCCGCCAATGAGAGTTCGTTTACGTTAGATCGAGTACTCGGTCACGAATGTTGTAAACGAGGTTTCAGCCTCACAATACTACGGACGTAAATACAGGTGCGTTTATTGCTCTCGGAACGAAACGGAGATTAGGCGTATCAACGCCTGACTCTTCGGATTTTAATCCCTCGTTTCATTGCCGCTTTTTATTTCGACCACTACACCGAGCAAGAAATGGACTGTCCAGCAAAATTACTCGCTACGGTCCAAATGTGAGAAAATCCTTTCTTTTTCCCTAAGAATTTCTTCTTCTATTTATAGAAAGTCATTGTTTTCCGCCCAGTGCGTGACCGCCGTGTAATATTAAATTGGAGAAGGAAGCTATTTCGACTTACCGCGAATTTTCGTCTCCTGGGGATCTAGGGACCCTACGCGTGGGTGGGCCTGCTGTCCTGGTTTCTTCAGCAGGACGCCCACAACTTGCGGTGCCATCATCATCTTGAAATTCCCTCCTAGGGATGTTTACACGAGGATGTCCATTTTTCCCCTAGCCCCCGATCCGCGGATAGCAATCTGGGGAATTAAGATCGATCTCCACTTCCTCGTCGAATCTCGATCTCGATGCTCTGGGAAGACTCGCTTCGATTTGTCCATTAATCTCGTCCAATATGCGACGATATTTTTATATTCAGTCTTCTACCGTGATAATAAACATGGATATCAAAAAGGTAGCACTTTCCAATTTCTCCTCCTTGAAAATGATATTCCTCAAGGCTGGATAAAATTTTCGGCGAAGTGAGGTTCCTCTTAGTTCGGATGGCTGCCGTTTTCGTGCGCGGCGCTAGTAGTCTCTTAGAAGGAACTTTTTTTTTTCCACTTTCTTCGTAACTTTGCCAGCGATCTCGTTTTACGTTATCGATAATTTCCCTCGTAGAAGACGTGTAGAACTAGCGGGTTAAGTCTTCTTGATAAGTCGTAGTTCGTAATCTTGATTGGCCGTTTTCGCGAACCGGCGCAAGTACTCGAAACTTTCTTCACTTCTTGGTCAGCACTTTCCTTTAGAAATTTTCGCGTAACGTGTAACAGACTGCGGGGGGGATAAGAACTCGTCGTTAATTTAGGTTAAGTCAAGTTTTGCGATATTTGCCTTGGCACTCTCTTAAACTCCGCGATTCTTTTCGCATTTAATTCGTCGCCGTCGAGGAACTGCAATAACTCCTAAAGAGAACGTTCACTTAATTTGGCACTTCGTAGGTTATTTTCCACGTCATAAATCCGTAAAACTGGACTATTTTAATCGAGGCGTTTCTTGCCGGTTGGCATTTTAAATCCACAAAAATTAACACGGTCGATTTTGAGATTCGGTAATTCCAAATTAGCGATTAACGTCGTTATTCTGGAGTGAAGACTGTATCTCGTCTTGTAAAATTTCGAGAAACAAATTGTCAGGCTTTTTGATTGCAAGTCTCGGATCGAGTTTCGTTCACCTCGCGTCCTTCCAGCCGTCTGCCATGTTTGAATAACGAGAAACGATTATTACATTTAATAAACGTTACGTAATATTTGCAGTTGTATATCACTTGCGCCTCGTGCAAGATAAACAGGCTTGGCGTTGATTTTGATCAAAGTTCGAGTAAAGGAGGATAAACTCCGATATTCCGTGACCAGGTTGTAGGTTAGGATCGCGCGTTAAGTGGCCCACCTGTCGAGCGCCGAATACATTCCTCGATTTTCCTCGGCCGCGACACCGATATCTCCCTAACCTCGCCAAGAGTCCACTCGCGACCGACCTAACCTCATTCCCGATTGATCCCCATTCAAAATGTCCGATCGGGTCGGTCGTCGCCCCGGCGCTGCGCGTCTCAATGTTTATTCAGCTGGACTGAATGAATAAGGTTTCCAAAAGTCCCTCTTTTTTTTTTTTTTTTATCGAGTCGATCGTCGTTCTTTATGTCTTCCTCCACTTTTCCGAATTTTCTTGTCGCGCCTGCCCACTAAGCACTCCCGTGATCCGTTGAACGAAATTAATTTCCTTTCTGGGATTATTTCAAGCAACTAACCTTCACGCGAAGTGGTCGCCACTGACACTCGTAGGGATTATCGCGATTATACTTGTTGGCTCGTTTATTGTTTACTTGTTTCCCCGAGGTTTGCCAACTGACGAGTGGATCTGCATTCAGAGCCGGAGTACACACCTGCTCACCGCACTGTCGCGCGTACGGCGAGCGACTGACAAGCTAATGGGAAGGAGCCGGTTCACGATCTCGGCGACCGTCCCCCCCACCACCGCCGCCGCCGCCGCCGCCGAGGCTATATAAGGCCGCCGGCACCCGGCGCCGCTCACTCACACGCGCTCGCTCGCCAAGTGCAGAGGTCAGGGCGCGACGGCTGATTCGCGGCGTCTCGAAATGAAGATGATCTAAATTTTAAAATAAGCAGCAATTAGACACCAAGGGACATATTCGACCATGTCGTGCTTCCATTTAAAGTGTGCACTACGATCCATGGGCTTTTCTCCACGTTTCCGTCGAGGACTTAAGTAGATATAAGTTTACCCTATTTCTTTTAGTAACAATTTCTTTCGCAGAAACTGTTAACTTACGTATGTACGGGGCGATTTATCATATCGATAGTAGGATCGCTTGGTCTAGTGAATATGGATCGTGATACCGAGAAACGATAGAGATCCATTAGCGTTAGCGATTCATGGAGGCGGTGACCGAAAAATTACGAAACCATCCGGTAGATGTCGTCTCTCCCCTGAAGGAAAAAATGGTGCTCCAGAAATGCCTCGGTGCATGTAACTTAATTATGCAACAATATATTTTAAACAAGTATACCGCGTGGATTTGATTTTCAAAGTCCACGCAAGAGGAAGAGATAAAATCTTCGCGGTATTTAAAGTATCCACTCTTGATTTGTATAATCCGAATATTTAAAAAATGAGCAAAAATGTGCACTTAATTTCGAAGAGGAATTGCACTTTACTAGGGTAGTGGTCTATGAGTACGAGCTTCACGTCACTCCGAAGGGTGACGGAGATCGAAGGGTTCCTTTGAATGAATTATGAAGCGAAATTTGAATGGACTTCACGTAACGGTTGTTCGCATATTTTTCTGTCACCATTTCTTTACGTAATGAACATGAAAGAGGAATTACTTATATGCAAATTGCTCGGCTGAATGACAACGTCGTTCGTTAGGGTGTCTCGTTCATCCCAGGCGTCGTGAAAAATCATTTGACCTCCATTAATGTCACAACGGGTTTCGAAATAGAAAAGGGAGAAGTCAATCAATCATCCGTTTGATCCGTCGGATCTCAGTCGAATGGGAATAATTATTTTAGCGATCGTTGATCCGTGTCGGTCGTGGAATATCAATAACGCGCCAAACGATCGCGTTCAAGGAAACAAGATGGCCGCGCGGTATATAAAGCTGAAAAGTACACCTCGAAAGAGCGAAACCAGAGGCTATTTGAATTGAAAATACTCACGCTTATCATACCTTTCGATCTGATACTTATGCCGTCTGTTTCCTTTCGCACGTTGCATACTACGTGAGTCATGGTATCATACCTAACATTTACAGCAAAAACTGAGCACTTAAACGATTATTATTAACCCTTCCTGCCACCTATCACTTATCCACATCGAGAGCAAGTTTGCCAGTTAGTAATAACCCATGGAGAAAGAAGAAACAACCTTTCGGAGTATTTATAAATATCCTAAAGACTAAACATGGGATAAAAGTCTGCAGGCGTATCATCCCTCGCGCGCTCATACTTTCAGCGCATCCTCTGTCCTGCTTTAAAGAGTTAATCCATAACCACATCCTCCTTTTGAAAAATATATCGAAAAAAAAAAGAGAAGAAGGGCATGCGTAGTGAATGCGAATGCAAACGAAGAGGAACGAGCCCTACGGTCGGCTGTGCAATTAAGTTTGTTAGCTAACATCTCGCTGCGCGAACAAAGGGGGTACCCCGGGCTGGGAAATAAAAACGGGGGGGATCCCATCCATCAATCGCTTTATCTATTACGTCTGTTCATCGGACCAGGATAATTATCTCGGCAGTCGTTGGTCCGTATCGAACGTATCGAACGTTCGATATCGATAGGTCTCGCAAAGTGGTCGCGCTCGAGGATGCAAGATGGCGGCGCAGCACCCGCGTTTGTGGTTAGGTCGACGCGTCGACTCCTGTCGATAGATGCATCGAGAGCTTTCGAGTGCAATGTCGCTCATCGCGGTCCGTTGGTTGAAAACAAACGCAGCTTGGAAAAAATCTGCACGCCACCAGTCAGCCGAGACCAAGATGGCGGCCGTGCTCGGTGAACATGTGGGCTCGCGAGCGAAAAATGCCTTCCGAAAATATCCCGAGACGCGCCGAGACCGGCTGCTCTCGAAAAACGATTATGGCGCCCCGCTCGCGTTTACTCCACCTAAGTACGTCAAGCTACTCGACTTGTATTTCGAGTTACTTGGGATGCGCTTATTTCGATGCACCGCATGTACTGACGAGGAATGCTCGAACCGTGTGAAGTACGGTATCGAATTCCAAGTACATTTGGAGCAACCTTGCCGGCGAGCCGTTTATAGGTTATGTGAGCTTACCAGTGATCGCTTACGCGAAATATCGCCCGGGTCATAGTGCACGTTAGGGATGTTCGATTCTCTTAGAAGAATCGATTCTCTTAAAAATCGGAATCCAAAGAATCGATTCTGCAATAATCGATCCAAAAAATCGGAAATTTTTTATATATATTTAACACAAATTTAATTAATACATTTTTACGTGTCGAAAGCCATCCATGAAAATGAAATGACTGTTGTATAAAAAAACTAAACAATAATTAGCAGTTTATATAGCAATTATATGTCTTCTCTAGCTTTCCCTTTGGCCGATATTTCCGGCCGAGATGGTCGACGGAACAAATGAGAGGTTCTGATTGGCTGTTGAAAGTCAGGTAGTGTTATGACAAGAGTGCGCTACGACGCTGAGTTTCAGTAGCCAATCTTGTCGTAGCGACCTACAGCAACCAATGAGCGAAGCGAATTTCTCCCCTCTATCGTTTCAGTCAAAAAGAATCGGTTTCTCGATTCTGAGGGTAAAGAATCGAATCTCAAGAAAATCAAATAGTAAAGAATCGATTCTAAAAATCGATTCTTTCAGCAAAAAAATCGATTTTTTAAAGAATCGAATCGGAATCGAACATCCCTAGTGCACGTATACGTGTAAACGACTGAAGTGGTGTATTTTTAATTAGAAAGTTGAGGGGTAATTAGAACCCCTGCAAGAAGCGAATACGTAAATACGGGGAAAGGAATGCAAATATATCGAATTAACAGTTTAACTCTGCACGCTTTTCCCTGGTGGGACATCACGCGCGACTTTCCTCCCGACGATTTGCATTCTCGAAACTTCGTTCTGCGTAGGTATTTCAGGAGGCCCCTCGTTTACAGTAAGTATGTAGGTTATTTTAATGCACGGTTCAGCGAGAGAATGCAGATGTTATGCGCGGGATATCTTCAAATCGCACGACAATCGTTTGTCTCGAGGACCGTGCTTCCATAACCTCCATTTAAACAACCTGACTCTGTTTAAACAACTGAACGCGGCCTCGAGCAGGATTTAATTCACTAATTAAACATTCTTCCCGAGGTTTTTCAAAGGAGGACAAGACGTCGAGCGGTTTAAAAAAATGTGCAACGACCACTCGGGAACGTAGGAATGGGACTTTACGAGGTTTTGAATATTTCATCGGACTTTGAGGGGGCATTTTAAATTCCCCAGCGTATCGTCGTGGGATGTGAACCAGATTTTGGGAGTTTGCGAATTCCGCCACCGCGAAACTCTATAATTCGCCATCCCGTCCTCTTTCCAAAATCCAACGCTCTGATTGGTCCATTTTCGTTCAGGCCGAATTCCTCCAGATGTCACGGACAAATAAAATACTTATATCCAATCGGTTATTATATTAAATCTAGAAAATTGTCATGTTATTTACCGTTACCAGAAATCCCGAAACATATTTGGCGTGAAACTCTGCCGAGTTTTTTATTTCTTTCCATACCAATTTGCCGGGCTGATCGCGGTGCCTTTCTTTAATTTTCATTTTTTTTGAGGTTTCTTGTCCAGTTGCGAGGTAGAAGGCGTCGGCCTTCCTGGTCCAGCGACCTTGACTGCAGCTTCCGACTACCGGATTCGCAAAAGCCGGCCGGTCGGTGCAGCAGGACTCTACCTTGTCTTCGTGATCCTGCGAGACATAGATCCGTTACCATAGCTCAGTTGAGCCACTTTTACTTTCACTTCGGGGGAAACGCAGGCTCGGTTACGCCGGGGTAACTTTGTAGATCAATTATGATCCGGCTATAAATTATTTCGAAATAACACCCCCTCCCCCCCTGGGGGATCATTATCGGGATCATTAACGAAATCACGATCTATCGCTCGATTCCTGTCTCACCGTGAAATCGTGACTCGGTCTGCGCATGCGCGCTCGTGGGTTAGGACTTTTTTCCCGGCCATCGCTCAGTGATCACCGATACAGTTCTATCTGTGCAACGTATAGTGTATGGGGAATCCCCGAAAAGCACTATACAGTGCCCATAATTATGAAAGCAATAATATCTGCGCTCGAGGGCGATAAATAACCTCAAAGGTTACCGTGATACTCTCGAAGGACTTTTTCGAGGATGTTGCTTGGTTGCTCAATTATTAACGTGCATAAATATTATTGCGTCGAAGTATGCGCGAGGGGATGCGACCTGCACCCACATATCATGCTTTATGGGATCACGGGGTCTCAATTTCGTGAGTTATGGGACGCTCGACTTTATCGCGGGCGCTGAGAGACCGAGACGGATCGCTCCTTTAATCCCCCTTAAAAAATGCACCCTCTGGCAAAATGAAATTCATATACGCCCTGGACGTATGTCGCCAGGCGACGAATCCAAATTTAGACGAGGCCGATGCGGCTCGTAATACGCATATTAAGCCGCTGTCGCGACTTTTGGGAACGCATTCCGCCGTTGGGGCTTTTTGGAAATCCACCTTGTAATCGGAATTCCTCATCCTACCGTGGAAGGTCACTTTTCCTTACCTCACTTTTCTAAGCAGGACAGGCGCTATTTGCGATTCGTTTTATAACTATAATCTAATCTTTTAAGACTGAACTTGTATATAGATACGAAGCTGCGGTATACTTAATGTATAA